AAAAAGAAACTAACCCAGGACTTGAACTATTTCGAAGCATCATTACTATAATCACATAAATCAAAGCAAAACTCGAACATGCACATATGCAAATATCATTTTTGTGGTGTAAAGTCTTTGGGCATAAAACCCGAGACATTTTAGTTTATACATTGGCACACGTCGATGGTTATCATTATCGTCTCGAAATCAATTGTGATTTCCTTCTTATACTCCATAGATACAAATATTTTGTCAAAGTTTAAGTTCAACAAATGCATATAATTTATCATGACTCTGTCTAGGTCTGCCTGTACAGACTATATGGACTTATTGGCTTATATCAATAAGTTCAAAGTCTAATAATAAAAAAAAGTATTTGACACAAAAATAATCATATTTCAGCACAAACTTCTTTGTCAAAGCTCTTAATCCAACGCATCTTAATTAATTACATAAATCGAACATAAACAGCGAAATATATGTCTTTGACTTGTGTATGCGTGTGTTTATGTGTGTGTGTGGACTAAGAATTGCTCATGTAGATCACCAACAAAGTAAAAATAAAACATGCCCACCAAACACAACACTTTCGAATAGATTTGTTCTTTTAAGATTTGTTGATGAAACTGCTGTATTTGGTATCAAAAATATCCATTTGAATAACTTTTATTCGCTTTTGTTTGCATCAGTATGAAGTGAGGATGTAAATAAACATCGATATATTTAGAAAATTAGTTTTAGTTTGTTAATCAGTTACTGATTCTTAATAATCCTCTAAATTCCTTTATGCTAAATGCACAGATAGTTTAATAAATAGCGACTCAGAATGAGAAATTGAAGAGTTATGTTCGAATTCTAGCCGATTTATTTACAATCACTTATGCGCAAATACACTTGAGAAAGTTATGAATACCGCTGTTCTCCCCCAACTATGGATTAAATAGTAGGAGATGTGCCTGAAAAATCATTATCTCCCAAAAAGCGTTGATGCAATATTCACTCACAAAAAAAGAATTATTCTTACAACCCCCACAGGAAATGTTTCGAAATAAAGGGTTGATAAGCAGTAAAAACAAATCAATCCTTTACATATTACATATTTTTTGTATACTACATATTCTTTGGACACTATATATATATATATATATATATATATATATATATATATATATATATATATATATTATGTCAGACTTTATAGTGTAAAATAAATCAATGCTTTTATTATCACATTGATATTAACCCATAGTTCGTAACATTTTACAGGATATACTATGATACATATGCCGTGTGGGTTTCAGCTCGTAATATTTATTTTTATTAGAAATATTTATAATGTGTGTTATTTTATCTTTCGTGTTGTTCGTCATATTAATAGTATAGTTATTGTTATTAATTCTTTAATTCCAGCTATATAATTATTACCATTAAATGAGAGAACCTTATGTGAGAATAGAAACTTTCTTCTGATTCTTCCCATTCTCATTGGTGGTGCTCAGGGACCATGAATAAATGCACCAATGCTTTCCAATGTCTCCTCTCCCTCGCCACGACTATGAACTCTGCATTTCTAGCGTTTTCACAGATTGATCTCAAATGTCAACAGTCCAGCGTCGCTTTCGTCTTCCTCTCAGTCTCCTGCCATCAATGTGTCCCTTGAGGATATCAGTGTAAAGGTTTTGGGCTTTGGTGACATGGCCAAATTATTAGTTTTCACTTCCAAAAACGTGTCGCAACCAACTGATTCTCTGTTCCTATCTTCCTTCAGGGCCGTCACATTTATTAATAATCCGACATTATTTTTTATTCCTTATATATATATATATATATATATATATATATATATATATATATATATATATTTTCCACACACACACACACACACACATACATACATACATATATATAACTTTAATAATCAGGAGATTAGTTGAATCCGCTATCTTGATTACAACCTTACGGAGGATAAGGTTCAACTGATCTCCTAATTTTTAAAGTTAAAAGCTCTACATGTTATGTTATTTTTACTTTCATTTATTTTTTCACACGTATATTGAGCACTTTTAATTACCACTGTTTGATTCAACTCTGACCATCAACCTATTATATATTATATATATATATATATATATATATATATATATATATATATATATATATATATATAATGCATTTTATTTATTTTGCTTGCTTCTTCCCATCCTTATTGTTGAGGTTCGGTGACCATGAACAAAAGACAAATGCTCTCCACTTTCTACTCTACTTAGCCTCTCTGTTCCCATCCTCCTCTTGTGGTCTGTCCAGCTGGTACGCAGTGCACACTTGTATCATGTTGCCTCGAAAGACATCAGTTTGTTAACATTGGCGGTTTTCAATGCCCAGCTGGTGCGCAGTGCCCGTCTGTAGCATGTTGCCTCGAAAGACATATTTGTTAATATCGGCGGTTTTCAATGTCGAGGTTTCGTATCCATACAATGCCACTGGCTACACTAGAGTCTTTAGGAGCTTTAACTAAATGGTTTTGTGAAGAGTATGGTCATTTTACGGTGTGTTATGGAATCTAAGTGGAGAGCTTGCTACCTCTAATCGTGCACTGATCTCATCGCTATCATTCACTGTTTAGTTTGATCTATGATGGTTTCTGGATGTCTCCACTTGAGCCAGCATGTCTCCTCGGAGAATAGGAGTACATATTCAAAAAGCTTATCTGGAAAGCAATAATAACTGCTGCAAGTAATTTTAGTTAAAACAGTAGAAGATTAAGCAAAATCATCGGATAAAAGCTCGGTGGAACTTAGAAAGATAAAGAGCCCATATTAAGATGTAAAATAATAAATTAATAACTAATTAAAGTGTATGGAATATTCTATTAATTAAATACACCCTTTCCAGGCCTGTATTATCTTTTGAATTTATTTATACATACAAATTTATTACGCTTAGTTATTATCAAAAGTTTTTCATCAGGATAGGTATTTTAACTTGCAAAATAATTTGTTCGTATAAAAGTATATATTGAACATTTATACAAAATCAGCTGGTAAATTATAATTTTTGTATGGAATCATTAACTTTTAAATCATTGAATACTTATAAATATAGATGAGTACATTGTTCGCTACACACAGTCAAATCTTTTCATGTGAAGTCCTCAAATTTGGTATAAATATTTACTAGACCAAGCGAAAGACTTCAACATATGGGTATGCATGTATGTATATAAGTGCTGCTGAAAAGTTCTCTCCAAATCTGACCAAATTACCAAACTTCAGTATATTTTAATCTCTTCTTCGTTGTGCATTGAACCTTTCTTCAACAACTTGTATATATATATATATATATATATATATATATATATATATATATATGTGTGTGTGTGTGTGTGTGTTACTACTCACACACACAAAACACACATATATATTTTGCATACTTACATATGTGTATGAATATATATATATTGCACACCTATATATTTTGTACGTATATATGCATATATGTATACTCATGTACACATAAACATACTTGCTATATATATATATATATATATATATATATATATATATATGCATATACGTGTGTTTACATATGCAACTATCTATAACTGTATATGTATGAACATATATATTAATTTAAGACAAACACATGTAACACAGACAGTTTGGCAGAAGTCAAGGAGACAGGTTGATATGATATAGAAGTCTGGAATTAAGAAGCGAAATGAAAAAGCTTTTTCTGGTGTAGTGTATAATCAACGACAGACAAAGAAAAATAAAAGAGTAACTTATAGAAACAAAAATGTACTGATGAGAAGTAGTGAGAAAGAGGGAGATAGACGGTTAGGAGTTAAGTGATAGGTAAGAGTGTGGAGCGTTCTACAGGGTGTTTACTGGAGAGACAGAACTTGAGATAATGACAGTGTCTGAGTGTTTTGGTAGGAGGAAATGAAGAGTTTGGTGAGATGGAACGAAATGATAAAAAAAAAAAATAAATAAAGGAAAAGATTAGGGTTGGGACTTTCTCTTCACTTTGCTCTCTCATTCCGTTTTGTTAGATATCTACCTCTTCTTCTCTCTGTCTTCTTTTCTCTTTACATTTTTTACTCCCCCCCCTCTCTCTCTCTTGCTTTCTTTATCTATCTGTTA